CTTTCTCTAGTGATGTTATGTGAACATCGACTACATGACACTTTATCATCTTTTAGCCTAGGGGAGAGCATCATGGAATTAGTTTGTACATGCTCGATTGCGAGAGTGACTGAAACCTACACCCCAATTTATGAATTGTTCCACGAGGGGCCGTTTTGGATCTACATGTTTAATGCTATAGTCAGATTTATCTTAATTATTTCTCTTCTATTTGTCGATGCTTGCATGGAGGGTATAATCATAAGTGGGCGTTTGTTCAAGTAAGAACAAGATCTTAGCTCCGGTCCACCCACATAAAAACTTATTTAGGCAATGAACGCAAGTTGATGAATCGTAGTGAAAGTAACTCGTCGATATTTTCGTGTGCCCTCAAGAGCATTTTGATCACTATAAGAAGTTCCACTGGCTTGTTCTTAGCAACATTAAGGATTGGACAACCTTACTGCACCTTGTTACTTTTATTACTTCTTACTTGTTACCAATTATCTTGCTATCAAACTATCTATAAAAACTATCTTACAACACTTGCAGAAAATGCCTTCCTGAAAACCGTCGATCAATTTCTTCTGCTCTTGGTTGGTTTCGACATTCTTACTTATCAAAGGACTGTGATTAATCCCCTATAGCCGTGGATCATCAGTCGTCCTCTTCCACATTCGAGTGCAAGGATGGCGAGTTCACCGAGGTTGTGGTGGTGTGGCCCGACGAGACTTCCTGGAACGCCTCGCGTGTCATACATGTGATCACGATGCTGAATACTCCTGTCTTTTTCTTTATTGGATTTGGAGCTTGGTGATGGGAGCTTTGGCCAGCGGTAAAGTTGTTGCCTTATGACAGTAAGGTCACGCATTTTTTGGCGAGAAAAACTTTCGATCTATTTATCTTCAATCATAGTAGTACAATGAATACTAAAAATAATAAAAAATCGGAAATGTTAACGCCCACACGTGTGGTCGTTTGCACATCGCCCACACGCCTCCATCACCACTCATTTTACCATGTATGAATATATGACATCAACAGAATTTTTGTTGGTTTTCGGCTTAAAAATGTTGTATCTCCTAAATAAAAAAAGTGAACTAAAAATCCGTTTTCACCATTAAATCTGTCTCGACGAGATCTTCAAAACTAGACCCCATGTTGATATGTTTCGACGAATTTTTTTTTGCCAGAAGTTGCCACGATGTTTACACTGCAGTTGCCATAGGGATTAAACTAAAGTTGCCATGTGGCAATTTTAGTTTGTAGATCATGGCAATTTTAGTATTTTGATGATGGCAACTCCAGTACTTTGACCATGAAAATTATTTTTTGTATGAACCATGGCAATTTTACGTGCAGGTATCATGGCAATTTTAGTTTATGGTTCATGGCAAGTCTAGTTTCTTAATTCCCCGTTTTATAAATGTCAAAATTTATTTTTAAATGTAGAAGAAAATAGCTGAAACATATCATGGCAACTTTAGTGTAAACATTATGGCAATTCATATGCAATAGACATGGCAACTTTTAATCCAAAAAAAATTCATCAAAACATATCAACATGTGATCTAGTTTCGAAGATCTCATCGCGAGGGATTTAATGGTGAAAAGGATTTTCAATCGGATTTTTCGTTTAAGAGATAAAACATTTTAAAAACTGAAAATCCAAAAAGATACCTGCATGCATGCATGCGATGACGTGGCAATTTGTTTACATTAGAGATGTGTGGTGCGTCTCCCTTCCTGCCACACGTGTGGCAGTTAGCACGACCCTAAAAAATTACATCCAGATCCGTAAACCACCTAGCGATAACTACAAGCACTGAAGCGAGACGACGGCGCGCCGCTGTCATCGCCCCTTCCTCGCCGGAGCCGGGCAACAGAATGAAGAGTAGCGTAAATCAGAAGAATCCAACCTGAAGACACATGAACATAGGCGAACGACGAACAAATCCGACCAAATCCGCCAAAGATAGATACGCTGAAGACAATCTTTTGTATAATGTAGAAAAAAATTACGTACAAAAGACCCAAGGTGTTTGGACCCCTCCGGACCCTGTCCAAGTAGGAGTGCAGACACGCAGTTAATAAAATACTTAGGCGTGCTAATCGATGGTCAAATCAGTCACCATCACACGTACTACTAGAAAAGTCCAGTGAATCATCAGCTTATACAGGTGCAAAATCCAGTAACCAACAATGCATAGACATCCTTTTTTTTTTTTGAAAACAGCCATCCTTTTTTGTTAGTCGAACAATGCCAAAGCTATCCGAACATAGAAGCTTGTAGATGGAGAAGCGCAAAGCAATTCCAAATCAGAGTTCAGCTAAGGCCAGCGGGCCCACATGCAGAGCCGCAGAGGTCACGGCCGCGTGTATATAACGCCCAGACACGGCTACGGCCAGGTAGAACCAACCGTAGAGGCGGGGCCAGTTTTGCTTAGCACCCAGAGAGAGACCGAGAAGGCAGGGGAGGGACGCAAGGTACAAACACGAGCCATGCTCCTCTCTTGCTTTGCTTCCGTTGGCTTAGTTCTTACTGGAGTATATATAGCAATTAATAAATCCAAGTTACAGCGGTCAATATCAGCCGCTTTAAGAGAATCATCATCATTATAGGTCGTATAATTTTACTGTTGCTTCGAGAGGAACAGGACACGAGCACTGTGATCCTCGGGTGAATCTTGACTTCGATCGCATCGATCAAGTGTTTAATATACAGAAAAAAGGTCAGTTTGTTCGAGATGGGGTGGGCCGGGGTGGGGATCAGTGGAGCATCTCCATGAAGAAGAAGGAAGAGCAAGGCCCCCTCATCTCATCTCCTTGGTTAGTTGGTTAGATTTCCTCGGATTGCCCGTTCCGATCAAGTCATGCCTGGAAAGCATCACCCGCGGTTTGGTGGCGGGGGAAGAATCCGAGGCGAGCGATCTCTGTAGATTAAACGTCGGATCGGATTTGGGATGGGGGTGTGGATCGGTAATGCAGGGGGAATCTGAGATTTCTCTGTTCTTTCCTGCCCCCCTCCCTTTCTCTGCTCCGGATTACTGATTCAGGAGCAGCTGATTCGGATCCTATCTACACACTCTGTTTTGATCGGCGTAAAGTGGACAAAGAAAATGCTTGCCCTTGGCCGTTTATTGTCTTTTTAACTAAGTATATATACCGTACTTCTTTAATCCCCTCTTCATTGTTTATAGTTCCGTCCTGAACTTCATGTTTCAAATTTCAAATCTTGGCGTTGCGTGACTGAGTCAAATGATTTTTGGTTTATGAGAAAAAGTAGGGAATTCCTGAAGAGGTTATTAGAAATAAATGTCGCCAACGTGTCGTATACGATGCTCCTAAATTTCTACTTGGTACCGTGGATTTCTTTCCGTCTCTGCAACTTGATGGATAGAATATCTGTCCTGTTCCCCTTTATTTGTAGCACTGTTCCTTTTGTTCCGTTGCTTTTCGGTGGCATTACTGTTCTGCAGCCCCAGCCACAACCATGTTCTTGTACATTCATTATAGGGTTATTATATTAAACATGTCAAAACTCCAATTCCTAGTACCATAGTATTGGGCAGTGAAATTTTAGGTGTCAGCCAGACCATGTAAGGAGGCAAAGGGGAAAAGAGAGAAGAGAACCACGTTTGGGCCCCTCGGCTTTCGTTTTCGCAAGCTATTGCAATCAGTTGCTATCTTTGTCTACCCCCATCCTCTTACTATTCTGAACACTAGGACAGTGATTGAAGAATATGTAAAATCCACGCTACAAAAGGAAAATATGTAGGACCCACAACTCAGCTTCTCAGTGAACATATGTAATTCAGAATTTTCTTTACCATCATTTTTTATATTCTTGAAAGGTATGGGGAGTGGATAGAAGAGAAAGGAAGGCAGCTTGAATTGGTTGTTCAGTGATGGTTATAAGCCAAATTGTAGGTCAAAGTGAATACAAACTAAACTAGGAAAAGTGTTTTGCCGTTACTTACTATGCTTACTCAATTGCTACTAGAAACCGAAAGTCGAAAGCTTTAACCTGTCACACTTTTGCAATAGCAATAGGAATTACATCTGAAGTTGCACATAAGATGAATATGGGTAACTCCCTAAAACTACAGCTGGGCTCTCAGGGATAGCTTCTCATATAAGTTCCATATACTAAGATTTTAACTTTAGAAGGATATTGTTGTCTAGATAAAAAGAACCTTTTAAGGATATACCGAGCTTTAGCAGGCGAGCACAATCATGAAGCATGCCGTTGTTTTTGGATGTTCTGTACAATTGTTTTTAGGAACACACGAGAAAGCACACTTTTTTTTCTCATTAGAAGTGCTAATAAAACAAATTAGCATATTCTTCACATGTTCAAATGTGAACTCTCTTTATAATGAAGGCCTGTGTATTGAATTGTTTGCTTGTATAAAATTATTTATGGTTATTCTGAGCTGATCTTTTGGCCCACTCCAACAATTCTGATCTTTCGTGCTGCCTGGTCATTGAATTTGTATTCTTTTCCTGCGAATTGATGAATAACTTTATTGCTAAAATGGAAATGGCAAAACACATTGCATATTGAGTTGTTGTCATTGCTTGCTTGAGAGAAAGAAGAGAAAAGACGTATGGTTGGCTGGTTGCAGGAGTTTAGTTGTATTAATATGACTACCCTCATAAATTGCCTGTCTGCAATTTCTTATGGCTTTCTCTGCTGCCACCTCTCTTGCTCTCCGGTCCTTCAAGGCTGCAAGGCACCCGTTACCTAAACGTGTCCTCTTTCCTGCGTTTCAAGCGCGTCACCACTGACCCATCCTGTATCCTCCCTTTGACCAACCTGGTCTTTGTCTTTGTCATGCACTTGTCGACACCTGCTGCTTCCTTAGTGTCCAAGAATCAGCAGTTTCCTTTCATTTCTCCCTCCTTCATGTGTCCTCCCCTCGTTCCCCAACACTGCCCATTCTATCTATAAATGGACTGATAGGCTTTGATCTTTTTCATACAGAAATCGGGGCCAGAGGAAGCAGTACAAATTACTGATGGATTTTGGGACTGAATTGAAGGGATGTGTTTGCCGGATCAACAACTGCGCCATCGAACTCTTCTCCATGAAGGAGGATTTGGAGATTGAAGACGAAGACTCATGGGACCTGGTTGGGAGGGACCTCCGGCTGAAGGCCACCTTCTTGTATATTGACCTCAGCCGTGTGATCTCCTCCTGTGAGAGCGATGAACGCAAGAAGATGCTCACTGGCCTAGCCAACAAGTTCTTCTACTTCATGGACGAGGTGATGACTGCTTCCTTCCACTTGTTTGGTCAAACTTGGGCTCAAAGCATGCCTTATTTCATTGCAAATTCACATGTCGAATCATACATACACAAGTTATCAGGGTTCATGTATGCCCTTGATTATCAAATTTCACAAATGCCTCAGCATCTCAAGTCAACTTAATTTGCAATTGCGTCCTAAGAGCTAAGAGACAGATTATTTAAAGTTTTGCCTGATATACAGCTCAACATTTTCTAAGTAAAGGTATCAAAGTGGTTCAGTTCATGTTGCAGCAGCCTATGTGGACTATTCTGATCTTATGGATGTTTAATAAGTACTCCCTCCGTCCGAAAATACTTGTCATCAAAATGAATAAAAGGGGATGTATCTAGATGTATCTTAGTTATAAATACATCCCTTTTTGTCCATTTTGATGACAAGTATTTTCGGACGGAGGGAGTAGTACAGATCTTTTGACGGAAATGTTTAATACATATAATTATAACGGATAACTGTCCCCACTTAAGCAAGTCGTTTTCACCCTTGTCCTGTTTCCTTTTGCGTTGGCGGAAGTTGTTATGGATCATGACTGGGCTTTCGCTAATAGTGTTCAAAGTGCTTGTTCATCAGCAGTATAAGGAACTCAGTCAAGTGCACTTAGTTCTCTTTGGCTTTCTGCAGTGTAATATTTATGTAGACTAGTCTCTGGTCAACTTTACAAAATGGTTGTTTGGCTGTTCCTTATGACAACGATCTGGGCAATTTAGCATGATGTATGCTTGATGCTAACCGAGTTAAGATGCCCTTGTGCAAATGGCAGTTGGGCAATGCGGTGAAGGACAGAAGCGCCCCCCTGGTGCAGGTGTGCTACAGCGACACGACTCATGTTCTTCGCGAGGTGGTGGCCGCCCTTGTGCCGTCGCATTAGTCTGGCTCTGGCATCCATGCTGAGAAAGCTGTAAGATCTGGGAGCTTCGCAGTTCTTGGAAACAAGAAATTGTCCAAAAAGCTGTACAAAGAGGACAGGCCAACATGAGGGGCCTATGTTATGTACATATCGTTAAACGGCTGTGGAGTCGAAGCAAACTAAATGATTAGTGTCTGGTTTGCCCCATGGATTGAGGTGTTCCTGTCAAGTTTATTTTCTAAAGCTCGTTTCTAAGAAAAAAGCCACCTCGCTGCGTATACTTGCGCCGTGCAAGCTGGCGTGCTCGTTGGGTATACCTTGCATTGCGCAAGCCGGAGTTCGGGGCCTTTCCTCAACGTTACAATGCAATGCCTTCACGTTGTCTCCACCATGTGATTGAGTTATTATTATTATTATTATTATTATTATTATTATTATGTTGCTGACCTTCCTCTTGACACTGAATGTGGATATTCATTATCGTTGCGCTTCAGACGTGCGAAAAAAGTCCTCAATAGTCAATCAATCAACGTTCTATTTCAAGTTTTGCATTGTAATGCATGATGCATTGTGGTGGGCTTGAGTAGTGATTTGCCGACGCGGTGTCCATACCTCGGTTTGATCTCTCATCTATTCTGCATTTCAGTCGATCTATGTCACAGGATAATAGCAGGCGATTGCATTTCATCCGAAACCTATGTCGTGAGAATACACTAGAGTTTACTAGCTAATACTCCCTCCGTTCCAAATTACTCGTCGTGGTTTTAGTTCAAATTTAAACTAAAATCACGACGAGTAATTTGAAATGGAGGGAGTAGTTGCTATTTATAAGAAAATTCTACCTTGTTGAAGTGGGGTAATGCTGTGAGGCCGTGCTTATTCCACCATATCGTGGCACAAGATGCCACATGGAGAAGTATACTGAAGGGAACAATCCTCAAAATGCTAATGAGTTTCAACTTAAGACACTCTTATGTGAGGAGACCAGTTGAAAGGGCTTTTGTCGCGTAAAAACCGTTAGAAATTTGTTTACAATAGCCATTCCATCTTACAAGCCCCAAGTAAAAGTAGTGATAGCTTGCGCAATTTTGCACAGTTGGGTCCTTCAATATAGCAATGATTAATATTTCGCACCAGATGAAACATGGGACATGGAACCCGTGATGAAGATCACTTAATGCACACAAAGCATGTAATTAACTAGCTTGGCAGACATGAGAAAGCTCTACCAAGAAAGTATCCTTACTTCCAGGTTGACTGACACCGTAAAACATAAGATGCCATCTAAAATCGACACATTCATCTAAAAAAGCACTCTAACAAAGTGTTCACCGTTTCATATTCAACAATATTAGAAGACTATACTCTTGATATGTAATGACAGAACTGGTAGGGTCTGAATCTCTATGCTTATTGTGTTAGTGTCTGGTTCATTTGCTAGCACACAATGAAATACAAAGAATAAAACACAGGCCAGGGACTTTTCCATACTCAAGTTTTCCATAAAACTTATGCCACACTTAGCATACACTGCACCACTTGATGTGTTAAGATCTGGAAAAAGTTAACTCGTCATAAAATTTGCGTTTCTATATTTGGATCTAATCTAAATTTACCTAATTGTTTTTCTATGATTATTTCAGTTGGAAATGTTTGTCAAGTTGTTGTTTGATGGCCCTAAATTTTACCACTTTTAGTAGAGGGTTTTGACATGGTTTTCACCGGGTCTTCATCATTTATTGCATATTTCTAATAATAATCCTACGAGACAGAAGAAGACTTGTTTTCCTATGTTGTGCAGAAAAATATAATTTTGGAAGGAAACGAATCAAGATCCTATCAATTTTAGCCAAAACAAGCAATTTTGATATTGGGCAAGTTCTCACTTGTGCTTTGAGAGCGCAAGACGGCCTGTAGTACGAGAGCAACCACTCGTACTAGCTGCATATGGCCTCCCCTCATCTACAGCAGCAACTTCCGTGAAGGGGCACACAGGATCAGAGACACCCATCCGTTGCCACACCATCTAGAACAGAGGGAGAAGAGATCCGGAGAAGAAGAAGACACAAAGATCCTTTCCATGTTTTTCCATCTCAATCCTCATTCATCGCATCATCACCTTAAGGAAAGGAATTCCAAGTTGTAAGACCAGGGTGTATAACTCTATCAGACTTGTTTAAGCACGAGACTACGACTTTGTTTAATCGTTCATTTTATTGTGGATCCTCACGATATTATCGATATGATTTCTCTCGAATTATTCTCTGAGATGTTTGGTGATTCTTCCCCTATGTGTGAGTAATTCTCCTTAGGCGTGGGAGATGCAGGTAATTGGTAAGATTCATTTGTGCCTATTCCATATGCCATCATTCGTGGTTATAATATTATGATTACTTTAGCAAGTTGTTATTCTACCATGAACGTAATATGTGTTGTTCAATTTAAGGGCCCACACAAAATGATATTAAAACCTATGCGGGTAACACATGTCGTTTAGTGAATCTGTGATCTTCAGGTGACATGTGGAGATATCTACAAGGAACGAAAACGGTATGAGATAACAGTGATTCACCGAACTTAATGCATGGTCCCGGTTCGACCTTAATTATAGAGACGACCACGTCATGGCAACGTCGAGGTAGGTCTATAGAGGAGAATAAAATTCCGCATGGGGGATTTCTACAATTCAAGGGTGATCCGCCAACCGAACAAACAATCAACATAATAGAGTCATGATACAGGGTAACTGGTATTAACGTCGTACTGGCACAACTGACGTAAGTCTCTCCATGCCTACTGCAGGAAAACACTTTTATTTTTAGTCTGTTAATTATGTTCCTTACTTTTAAGTTGTTATAACTCTCGCTGCAACAATCAACCTTATTCATCACTCTCATATATTTGTCTCACGGGACAAAATATCGTCTGCATATTTTTCGAACAATTACTTCACACAAAACCCATGAGAACTTGTGGGTGACATAAGCACCACTCATAAATACTCTGCTCTGCTCTTTTTTGGGTGATAACTATTGGGATACTTACATGAAGGTGCTACAATACCATTTATGTCTTGGAGGCAATCAAGCCTTTTCTGGCGCCATTGCTGGGGGCTAAGCACATAGTATTTGTTTTCGCAACCGATTTGCAAGTGTTGTTATTGTAGATGCTCTTGTCACTTACAGTGGTGCTTCTAGTTTTGAAAGAACACATCTACCAGATGACATTCCGCGTTTTCCGCATGAGCTACAACTTCATTACTAGAAAAATTACAAAAAAGAAAACTATTGAGCTGAACACTTTGTTTGCAGAGATGTCAATTACTCCAAAGAAAGAGAAAACTTTGAGGGGTATTGTCCTCCATACATGGGCTCAAGATCTCCTATAGTTTGCCTGCCTAATTTTGCTACTGAGTATTAAATTGATTGTGGACTAATCAATGAAATGAAAAAGCATGCTTTTACAGGAAATGAAGAGGAGGACCCTCAAGCAACATATGATGTTTGATGCTTTGTGCGGTACTTTTAAAATCAAAGATGTGCCTAGAGAATTTATCTTACTAAAACTCTTCAAATTCTCTTTGAAGAACAAGGTTGGAGAATGGTATAATAGACTATCATATTGCAGCATCACCTGCTGGAAAGCTTTTGCACAGAAATTCATGATTATTTTTCCCTTTCTCCAAGATAGCAAACTCCGAAAAGAGCTAACCTCGTTAACATTTGATTAAAAACTCATAGAAAGCATATACAAAGCTTGGGGGAGGTACTCTGAACTTTTGAATATCATTCCTAATCACATGTTTGCTGAATATGTTATACTACACTTATTTTATCATGGGATAGACGATGAATCTAAATCCATTCTTGATATAAATGTAGGTCAAAGATTTATGTCTTTGACCTCGGAAGTAGGAAAAGCTTTTGTAGAAAAGATCATGACTGCTAAAGAGCAGTGGAGTACTGAGGAGCCTACTAAGTTCACATGAAGAGTTTACCGTGTTGAAGACATGGAGGAATTCCGAAAGGTAACTCAAGAAAAGGTAAACATGTTTAGTAAGTTAAACAAGAAAATAGATCTCTTTAGTTTTATGAGCAGGAACATGAGCTAAGTGAGGCGATAAGTAGATTTAAACATCACCAAGAAGGTTTTAGCAGGGACCTGAGGCGATGTATCTGTTGGGGAACGTTGCAGAAAATAAAAAAATTCTACGGTTTCACCAAGATCAATCTATGAGTTCATCTAGCAATGAGAGAGAGGAGTGCATCTACATACC